GTGAGGATTCTTTACATTGCCACTTTATTTAAGCTTGTTTCTTTTTTTTTTTTTTTGAGACAGAGTCTCGTTTGTTGCCTAGGCTAGAGTGAGTGCCGTGGCGTCAGCCTAGCTCACAGCAACCTCAAATCTGGCTCAAGCAATCCTTCTGCCTTAGCCGCCCGAGTAGCTGGGACTACAGGCATGTGCCACCATGCCCGGCTAAATTTTTTTTTCTATATATATTAGTTGGCCAATTAATTTCTTTCTATTTATAGTAGAGACGGGGTCTCGCTCTTGCTCAGGCTGGTTTCGAACTCCTGACCTCGAGCAATCCACCCACCTCGGCCTCCCAGAGTGCTAGGATTACAGGCGTGAGCCACCGCGCCCGGCCTTAAGCTTGTTTCTTTTCCAACAAAGTACCACCCTTCAAAAGGTTGCTGGAAGTTTTTTTTTTTGAGACAGAGTCTCACTCTGTTGCCCAGGCTAGAGTGCCGTGGCACCAGCCTAGCTCACAGCAACCTCAAACTCCTGGGCTCAAGCGATCCTCCTGCCTCAGCCTCCCAAGTAGCTGGGACTACAAACATGCACCACCATGCCTGGCTAATTTTTTCTGTATATTTTTAGTTGGCCAATTAATTTCTTTCTATTTTTAGTAAAGACTGGGTCTCACTCTTGCTCAGGCTGGTCTCGAACTCCTGAGCTCAAACGATCTGCCTGCCACAGCCTCCCAGAGTGCTAGGATTATAGGCGTGAGTGAAACAAAACTTAAATATAGGAATTATAAGTGTTTCTCAAATTGAGGGTTATAATGAAAAAAGAGAAAAGAAGGCTTTTTGGTGGTAAGGATCCTATGAGACAGTGTGTTGAGGGGTAATAGTTAGAAAGTAGCTACCTCAGAGTCTGGTATTACGTAACCTGCTCAAGTCCTCAGACAACCTCAGGCTCCTACAATCCCGGGAGTGCTTCCTTCTCAGTTATTGGCAAGTGCCTAGTTTACTGTTTGAGAATGATTAGAGAAGGAAAAAAGAAAATGTCTCTAAAAATAGTGAAATTTTCTCTTTTTTGGTGCCTGTTTATTCCTGGAAACAAATTAATCTTTAAACAGCATTTTTGTCTCCTGCTTGTTGCTAGGTGTTCCTCTTTATTGGCTCAGATGCCTTCAACTGCTGTACTTCTCTCCTGGCTTCTTGCTATTGGCTGGGACACAAGATGGAAACATTTATCAGCTGGATGTGAGGAGTCCTAGGTGAGTCACTATTCATTTGCATGATACAAGTCTCTCTACAGAGTAGAGTTTTTTTTATTGGCTTTAACATTGACTTAGCCTAGCATATTGAATCAAGGGTATATTTTTCCATTTATAAAGGTTTTCCGGTCTGAATTTTGTGATTGTTATTATCCTGGAATCATATTAAAAATTTGATTCATGCTGTCATGATTGTATGACTGTAATGATTGCTTTGAAATTAAGCTTAAATGTGAACTAACATTTCATTTAGAATAATGTCTAGAACTTTTAACCTTAAGGAGCTCAGTAATTTCTGTATGATTAGACTGAGCCAGCCTAAGACTAAATGATCATTTTTAGTTTAAGTAAGCAGCTCTGTTTCTTATTTAGCTTTGATCATGACCTATCTAAAATAGGCCTTATCCTGATCTTAAAGATATCAAAGAGAATCAGTCTCTCTGTTGCAGGATTTAACAGTCTATGCTTCTGTCCCTTACCCTTTTGATTTCCTCCCTTTGTTCATTAATATTTATTGAATGGCTTTTGTGGACACTGGGTTTAGTGCAGGGCACTGAAAAAGAGAAATAAAAGATACAGATTCTACCTTTGAGGCACCTGGATTCTAGTGGTAAAGATGAACAAGTGAAGACTATTGTGAAGCAGTGTGATCACAGGGCTGTCACAAGCAGTGTGAGGAACACCAGAAAGGAGAGGGAAGGGAGGAGAGACTGATTCTCCAAGGAAATGAGAAGCACTGGTTCTTGTTGAGCAGCTGTTATAAAGTAAGGAAGAAGGGAAGGACCTGGCCTGGGTAGAATCGCATGTATAGAAGCACGAAGGCAAGTGAAAGTATGTCACTTTCAGAGGTCACCAAGTAATTTAGTATGGCAGGTATATACCCTGCAGATAGGGTAAGAAGTGATGCCGGACAGGAAAACAGGAGGCTGCTGAGGCCTTACCTACAATCCTAAGGAGTTTGGACTTTATACCAGGAGCAATGAAGAAATTCCACTAGATGGTGACTAGCATACACCTTTTCTTCCATCATTTAAGTTATTTTATTTTTCCTCTCCTTTTTGCCTCATGGAAATAGGGACTCTCTATCAGTATTATAAAGTCACTCTTACATTTATATTAAGTTGATTCTCATCTTTTTCTTTTTCACGAGCCTGGCAATTGTTTTTAGTATTCACAACTAGTCTTAATTGTGGTCTTTAAGTGAAAATTAACATACTGTTAATATTATATCTCTTGAGTGAAACAAAACTTAAATATAGGAATTATAAGTGTTTCTCAAATTGAGGGTTATAATGAAAAAAGAGAAAAGAAGGCTTTTTGGTGGTAAGGATCCTATGAGACAGTGTGTTGAGGGGTAATAGTTAGAAAATAGCTACCTCAGAGTCTGGTATTACGTAACCTGCTCAAGTCCTCAGACAACCTCAGGCTCCTACAATCCCGGGAGTGCTTCCTTCTCAGTTATTGGCAAGTGCCTAGTTTACTGTTTGAGAATGATTAGAGAAGGAAAAAAGAAAATGTCTCTAAAAATAGTGAAATTTTCTCTTTTTTGGTGCCTGTTTATTCCTGGAAACAAATTAATCTTTAAACAGCATTTTTGTCTCCTGCTTGTTGCTAGGTGTTCCTCTTTATTGGCTCAGATGCCTTCAACTGCTGTACTTTTCTCTCTGGCTTCTTGCTATTGGCTGGGACACAAGATGGAAACATTTATCAGCTGGATGTGAGGAGTCCTAGGTGAGTCACCATTCATTTGCATGATACAAGTCTTCTACAGAGTAGAGTTTTTTTTTATTGGCTTTAACATTGACTTAGCCTAGCATATTGAATCAAGGGTATATTTTTCCATTTATAAAGGTTTTCCGGTCTGAATTTTGTGATTGTTATTATCCTGGAATCATATTAAAAGGTAATTTGATTCATGCTGTCATGATTGTATGACTGTAATGATTGCTTTGGAAATTAAGCTTAAATGTGAACTAACATTTCATTTAGAATGAATGTCTAGAACTTTTAACCTTAAGGAGCTCAGTAATTTTCTGTATGATTAGACCTGAGCCAGCCTAAGACTAAATGATCATTTTTAGTTTAAGTAAGCCAGCTCTGTTTCTTATTTAGCTTTGATCATGACCTATCTAAAATAGGCCTTATCCTGATCTTAAAGATATCAAAGAGAATCAGTCTCTCTGTTGCAGGATTTAACAGTCTATGCTTCTGTCCCTTACCCTTTTGATTTCCTCCCTTTGTTCAACTAATATTTATTGAATGGCTTTTGTGGACACTGGGTTTAGTGCAGGGCACTGAAAAAGAGAAATAAAAGATACAGATTCTACCTTTGAGGCACCTGGATTCTAGTGGTAAAGATGAACAAGTGAAAGACTATTGTGAAGCAGTGTGATCACAGGGCTGTCCACAGCAGTGTGAGGAACACCAGAAAGGAGAGGGAAGGAGGAGAGACTGATTCTCCAAGGAAATGAGAAGCACTGGTTCTTGTTGAGCAGGCTGTTATAAAGTAAGGAAGAAGGGAAGGACCTGGCCTGGGTAGAATCGCATGTATAGAAGCACGAAGGCAAGTGAAAGTATGTCACTTTCAGAGGTCGCCAAGTAATTTAGTATGGCAGGTATATACCCTGCAGATGGGGTGAGAAGTGATGCCGGACAGGAAAACAGGAGGCTGCTGAGGCCTTACCTACAATCCTAAGGAGTTTGGACTTTATACCAGGAGCAATGAAGAAATTCCACTAGATGGTGACTAGCATACACCTTTTCTTCCATCATTTAAGTTATTTTATTTTTCCTCTCCTTTTTGCCTCCATGGAAATAGGGACTCTCTGATCAGTATTATAAAGTCACTCTTACATTTATATTAAGTTGATTCTCATCTTTTTCTTTTTCACGACCTGGCAATTGTAGTATTTCACAACTAGTCTTAATTGTGTCTTTAAGTGAAAAATTAACATACTGTTAATATTATCTTCACCCCATGTCAGATCTCCCCTAAAAACTCAAGATTTGGGTGGTGACTTAGTTCATGGTTAGAAACATATTTACATTTACTCCAAGGTGGTTTGAAGAATTACTTTGATCTATCTGCCAGTTAAAGATCTTTCCCAGAAAGAAACCATATGAATGTTTAATCTTTTTCCACATTTGTCCTGTTTGCTTTAATGTGATTAGTACTATATGTTGAATATAGTCAAACGTTGCTTTTGAAGAAAAAAAGTAAAACTGTCCCTTTTACTCTGAATCCTAGAACTCCAGTGCAAATCATCCACAGATCAGGAGCACCAGTTCTGTCCCTGCTGAGTTTCAGAGATGGATTCATTGCTAGCCAAGGTGGGTCCATGGGCCAATTGAGAGATGCTTCCCTGAAGCTCAATTAATTAAATATCATTTTCAGTGCCTGATCCATGGATGGACTGGGGCATGGCCCTCTGCAGTTCTTTGGCATATTGTGCTTATCAGTAGTGTTTGTCACTCTACATTGTGATTGGCTGTGTACTCCTCCAGTCTAAGCTCCTTGAGAGTGGTGACTGTGCCGTATTCATCCTGTCATCCCCAGCAGTTAGCTCAGCACCCATTAAGTCTCTACCCTAAAGGGGAGCTCATAATTAGTAAGGCAAACAGACATCTGAACGTGTGATTGCCGTCCAGTTTGATAAGTACTACAGCAGAAGACTGCATGAGAACATGGAGAATAGTTAATTCTAGAGGTAGGAACGCTGTTGGCAAGGTCTTCAGGGACAAGGTGACATGGAAGATGATGAAGGTTTCACCAGCTAGAGATGTAGGGTGGACATTAAAGGCTGAAGCTTTGGTGTGTGCAAAGCCACAGATGAGGGAGGGGGCAAAAAGAAGGAAACTAACATTTACTGAGTGCCTGCTGTGTATTGTTTGACGCTTAACTACATATTCTAGGTAAAGTGAGTACTTTGGTCTAGCCAGGATAAAATATTTCAAATGGAGTTCGGGAGTGGGATTGGGGAAGTGGATAGAACAAAGTGTGTATTAAGGGATACCATGGATCCTCACAGGAGTAATGTTGGTGAGGAGGACTGGACTGAACTCTTTGATTGCAACCTTCTCTTTAGTTATATAAATTTTCTTTTTGCCTTTTAGGAGATGGAAGCTGTTTCATTGTCCAGCAAGACTTAGACTATGTCATTGAGCTCACTGGAGCTGACTGTGACCCTGTGTACAAGGTACACGCCTGAGAGGAAACTGGAGCTGGGTGATTCTCACCTGGGATAGAGGGCTTTTAGGGGACTGAATCCAGCTACCTTGTGGTCATGAGGAGTAATACAATAGTGCTTACCATATAAGCAGTGTGGCAGGATGGGAAGAAAAGATTTTGTGTCAAAAGTGACTTCATCGCTTACTTTAAATATTACTTGAAGGCCAGGCATGGTGGCTCACGCCTATAATCCTAGCACTCAGGGAGGCTGAGGCTGGCGGATTGCTCTAAGTCAAGAGTTCAAAACCAGCCTGAGCGAGACCTCATCTCTACTAAAAATAGAAAGAAATTAATTGACCAACTAAAAATATAAGTACAAAAAATTAGCCGGGCACGGTGGCGCATGCCTGTAGTCCCAGCTACTCGGGAGGCTGAGGCAGAAGGATTGCTTAAGCCCAGGAGATTGAGGTTGCTGTGAGCTAGGCTGATGCCATGGTACTCACTCTAACCTGGGCAACAAAGTGAGACTATGTCTCAAAAAATATAGATATATATATTACTTCACCTCCCTAGTCTGTCATTTTATCTGTAAAATGAGGATAGTAATGAGATAATGCATTTGGAAGCTCTTTTTAAATATAAAGTATTCTATTCATATTCTTTATTATTATTATTATTATTATTAAAAGGTCAAGACTGATTCTCTCAGCCAGGCGTGGTGGCTCACACCTCTGATCCTAGCACTCTTGGAGGCTGAGGTGGGAGGATCGCTCAAGGTCAGGAGTTCGAGACCAGCTTGAGCAAGAGCACACCTGTCTCTACTAAAAACAACTTAGCTAGACAACTAAAAATACGTAGAAAAAATTAGCCAGAACATGGTGGCACATGCCTGTAGTCCCAGCTACTCAGGAGGCTGAGGGAGTAGGATCGCTTGAGCCCAAGTTTGAAGTTGCTGTAAGCTAGGCTGATGCCACAGCACTCAAGCATGGGTGACAGAGTGAGACTCTGTCTCAAAAAATAATAATAATAATAATACAGTTTTATCTTTAGTTTGTCCATATTGGGATCATTATATATTGCCATGTGATTTTTTTTCTTAAATATCTTAGAGCTCTTTCCAGGTAAATAAATAAATAAATATATGTGCACATATATAATATATATCCATTTCATTTTTTAAAATTCCTTCATAGTGTTATATATTGTGAATTAATATATTTCTATTTTGTAATTGAGGAAACCGGTGCCTAGAGGTGTTGAGAAAGATACCCTAGGTCATGTAACTACGTGGTAATAAACCTGAGGTTAAGTCAACTTCAGAATTCATGCTGTTTTCTTTAAGAAGTTGAGGAAATCCTCAGAATAAAAGGCACATATTCAGAATTTTTTGCATCCGATTTTATTGATACAGGTTTCAGGACTACCCAAGCCCTGTGGATCCTCTTCTCCTAGGTGCAGACCCTCTGAACTAAACTATAAACAACACTAATGGGTTTGCTTTCCACTTAGGCCAATTAGTTTCTCCATTCTATAGTCACAGGTGCATCCCGACTCTGGCCATCAATTTGTAAACACATACCATGTATATAATTCTTCTCTTGCCTTTGAAATCAGTAAAGGAGCTTGTCAGACTCCATGGGACTAGTGGAAGTCAATGATAAGGCTCCATCTATTGAAATGGAAGAATCCCAGGCTTCCTTTGAACTGTGAATTCTTGTGTTCCAGGTAGCCACATGGGAGAAGCAGATCTACACGTGCTGTCGAGATGGTCTTGTGCGACGATATCAGCTTTCTGATCTCTGAGCCCTTGGAAAGAGGAGTCCCAGTTAGTGGAAATGTTTGATCCTGATCAACAATGACATCATCAGTCCTTCCCAAGGACCATAGCCCTTAATGTCTTGGGCACCCCTTGCAAGTCACAGAAAGTCAGCTGTACTGGCCCATGTGGAACTATCCCAAGACCTGCTTTGAGCTGAATAAGAAGCTCAATGTGCTCACTGCATTTGCCCCAACTTCTCCAAATATAAACTCACCCCAGCAACACAGGGGAAGGATATAGATGCTTTCAGTTTGTTCTTATATTAACTGTGTTAATTGTTTATGAGGACCCAGAGGGACTAAAGCCTATTCTCTGGAATAAATAAAGAAAATATGTTTGGAGGTGCCTGAATTTGAAAAACTTTGTTAAATACTTTTACTCCAGCAAAAAGTCAGTCAAGAGGATGGGACTCTTTCCTCAGCACTCCCTTTTGGCCTGGTCACAGAGAAAGACTGCTTGGCAGTAGGAATAAATGTCCTATAAGCTATGACCTGGGAGAGATTGTTACATAGCTGGTTACCAACTGTTCTAGTTTGCCTGGAACTGAGTGGTTTTCTGTGACATACGACTTGGAGTGCCAAAACTGAGGCAGTCCCAGGCAAACTGACATGGTTGGTCAGCCTGTATGTAGATGAGGAAGTTAAATCACAATCATTGTAAAAGCACTGGCTGTCAAAATGTCATCCCTGGAACAGTAGCATCAGTATCACCTGGGAATTTGTTAGAAATTCTTGGGCCCAACCCTAAATCTGAATCAGAAATTCCATGGGTGCAGCCAGCAGTGTGTATTTTAACAAGCACTCCAGGTGATTCTGATGCACACTGAAGTTTTAGGACCACTGACCTAAAGGAAGAGATGTTGGAGGGCACTTTAGTCATAGCTGAAACCCAGAGCTCACAGGATGGCAAGGTTGGTCTATAGGAGTTGAGGCTAGAGAGATTAGTAGGGCCCAAATAGTGAAGAAGCTTGAATATCTAATAAGGAGCTTGGACTTCACTTGATTAGCAGTGGGAAACCACTGAAGGTTTTTAAATAAGGGAGTGGCATGGTCATCTCTTTTTTTCCTTAAACATAAGAATAGAATCATAATGTATGTGTTTCATGGTTTATTTTCATTTAAACCATGTCTCTGATAGCTTTCCATCTCAGTATATTTAGACCTTCCTCATTTTTAATATAAAATATCCAGCATATGGATACCATATTATTTATATTTTAGAGATTATTAGAGAAAGGTTTCATAGAAGATGCAACACTTGAGCTAGGACATGCAGGGTGATATTTTGATTTTTTTAAGGGAGGAAGGTAATTCCTGGTTGGGATAATAATATGGTTGACAGAGTTCCTAAAGGTATCTTCTCTATTTTTATAACTACATTATAACCTGTAGGTGGTAAGACTCAAAGAGATGAATTGATTTGCCAAGAGTCATAGAAAACAAGAACCTTATCTTAATTTTAAATCCCATTTTTTTCTTTCTTTTTTTTTTTAATTGAGATAAGGTCTTGCTCTGTTGCCCAGGGTAGAGTGCAGTGGCATCATCATGGCTCACTACAACCTCAAACTCCTGGGCTGAAGTGATCCTTCTGCCTCAGCCTCCCAAGTAGCTGGGACTACAGGCACGCGCCATGACTCTCGGCTAATTTTTTCTATTTTTGGTAGAGACAGGGTCTTACTCTTACTCAGGCTGGTCTCAAACTCCTGAGTGCAAGCAGTCTTCCTGCCTCAGCTTCGCAGAGTGCTAGGATTACAGATGTGAGCCACCTTGCCCAGTCTAAATCCCATTTTTTTTCTAAAACACCCTGTTGCTTATGCCTAAGCCAAAATGTAAAGATAAAATACTGCCATTTGTTGAGTATCTAGTGACTGTTTACTCTGTTCTAAGTACTATATATATTTAATCCTCACAATACTTTTTTTTTTTTTTTTTTTTTTTTGAGACAGAGTCTCACTGCTGATTGCTCTTGGCTAGAGTGCCATGGCATCAGCCTAGCTCACAGCAACCTCAAACTCCTGGGCTCAAGTGATCCTTCTGCCTCAGCCTCCCGAGTAGCTGGGACTACAGGCATGTGCCACCATGCCTGGCTAATTTTTTTTTCTATATATTTTCAGTTGGATAATTAATTTCTTTCTGTTTTTAGTAGAGACGGGTTCTCACTCTTGCTCAGGCTGGTTTCGAACTCCTGACCTGGAGCAATCCTTCTGCCTCAGCCTCCCAGAGTGCTAGGATTACAGGCGTGAGCCACTATGCCCGGCCCTCACAACACTTCTTTTTATTTTATTTTATTTATTTTTTATTTATTTTATTTTATTTTATTTATTTATTTTTTGAGAAGAGTCTCGCTTTGTTGCCCAGGTTAGAGTGAGTGCCGTGGCATCAGCCTAGCTCACAGCAACCTCAAACTCCTGGGCTCAAGCAATCCTCCTGCCTCAGCCTCCCGAGTAGCTGGAACTACAGGCATGTGCCACCATGCCTGGCTAATTTTTTCTATATGTATTAGTTGGCCAATTAATTTTCTTTGTATTTATAGTAGAGACGGGGTCTCGCTCTTGCTCAGGCTGGTTTTGAATTCCTGACCTCGATCAATCTGCCTGCCTTAGCCTCCCAGAGTGCTAGGATTATAGGTGTGAGCCACTGCGCCCAGCCCTCACAACACTCTTAAAAGCAGATGTTATTATTCCTTTTTTATTCCAATAAGGAAATTGAGGCTCGAAATTAAATACCAGATGAGAGTAAAACCCACAGCCAGCAACGTCAAGAATGGGGTTGCTTCCCGATCAGAAGAAGATGGTGGCCAAGGGGCAGCTGCCCAGGGGTCTAGGGAAGAATCAAACACCAAGGCAGCTTCTGCTAAGGGCAGTGGGAACAAGATGGCAGCTGCAGGCCTGGCCAGGAAAACAGAGGCCTCCATTGGCCCAAGAAGGCCTGTGCTGCCTGTCAAGGCCTCAGCACCGAAGTGTCCAGCGAGAGGGCTGAAGCTGGAACCAGAGGTGGGGGTGGGGATGGACTGAGATTCTGCTCAAGTTTTTATTCCCCAGCATCTTGTATTTACTTAATTGTAACCTATTTATCAATAAAGACTTTAGTTTTTCTTCACAAAAGAAATAAAAAGATAATTAAATACCAGAGACTTGATTTAGACCTTGGTCTGTCTGCAAAGACTGTGCTCCCTCTCAGGCGTCCTCAAACTACAGCATGCGGCGCAAGGACATTTATCCAGCCTGCCAGGTGTTTTCCACACCTGTCCTGCTTAGCAGCAGACTTGTCCTGGGCCCACAGTGCGCATCCTCCAACGGTCTGAGGAACAGTGAACTGGCCCCTGTTTAAAAAGTTTGAGGACTCTTAACTACACCATGTAATTAAAGCAGGTAGCAATAGACTTCTATGACTAGAGCAATTTCCTTTCAAGCAGTGATATGTAATAAGGTCAGGTAGACCAGAAGGTACATATTCCAGAGCTTAGAACTGAGTTCTAAGGAGGTCCAGGTGGAACCTTTAAGAAGTCAGATTAAGAAACAGGATGACAGTTGTCAGTTTAATGTGGAATCTAAAACAATTGAACTCAGGGAAGCAAAGAGTATTAGTAGAATCATGGTTACAGAGGTGGGGTAAGAGGAAAATGGGGAGGCGATAGACAAACGGTACACAATCCACACAGGAGGAATATGTTGCTTTTTGACATCTATTGCATATGTGGGGAATACAGTTAATAATAGAATATTGTACATTTCAAATTGCTAAGAGTAAATTTCAAATGTTCTCACCACAAAAAATGTTAAGCAGCTAGGAGTGGTGGCTCACGCCTGTAATCCCAGGACTCTGGAAGGCCAAGGCGGGAGGATGGCTCAAGGTCAGGAGTTTGAAACCAGCCTGAACAAGAACGAGACCAATCTCTACTATAAATAGAAAGAAATTAATTGGCAACAAAAAATATATAGAAAAAAATTAGCCGCATGGTGGCGGCATGCCTATAGTCCCAGCTACTCGGGAGGCTGAGGCAGGAGGATTGCTTGAGCCCTGGAGTTTGAGGTTGCTGTGAGCTAGGCTGACGCCAGGGCACTCACTCTAGCCTGGGCAACAGAGTGAGACTCTGTCTGAAAAAAAAAAAAAAGTTAAGCATCTGAGGTAATGGATATGTTAACCCTTTTGCACTCGGGTGTTGAGTGTGACTCGACACGGTTAGCAAAAATTATAGAGATTAAAATTACTCTTTGAATGTGTCAATAATTTGAAATATTAAAAAATCCAAATAAATAAGTTTGTATAAAAAGAAACTCCAGTTTTTTATTCTACTGCCGCGCTTTGTAAAATCTGCGGTATTTAACAAATTAAATCCTGAGTAGAATAAAGGAATTGAGAAAAAAGCAAGCGAGTGCAAAGGGTTAAGTAGTTTGATTTAATTATCCATACTGTATTCATAATCATAACAGCACTTTGTACCAAGTAAATGTACATAATTATAAATTGCTAATTTACAACAAATAATTTTTTTTGAAAAAGTAAACAGCATGAGGGAGGATATGGCTGAGCACACAGCAAGCAAATGTTTCTAAATTCCCGTCGCAGTGCTCACTCTTCCATGTGGCCATCACACTCGTGAGCCCCTTTCACAGGTCTCCAGAGTGATTCCTTGGTTGTGACATATGTAGTGACCCCTGATAGCTGCTCTGAAATACACACCCCAACAGAAGGAAGATAAGCCAGTTCTCAGGTGCTCCATACTTTGTCTCCTATGAATGGAAGAGGCCCAGTTTTCAGCAGACAAAGCTTTTTCTTTTTTCTTTAGGGTTAAGGAGTGCATTCTGGGTAAGCAAGGGGACTTCACAGCGCTACAGTGAACTTCCGTGCTAGACCTTGTTTCTTGGCTTTCGGATGCCCCTTGTGACTTCTCATGAGAAGTACCTCTCTCTTCTCAGACTTGAAAGCGGCAGCGTCATCGGCTATTGAGCACCTACTCTGTGCCAGGCACAGGCCCCACATTGCTCACAATAGGTAAAGATTTCTTTGTTGGTTGTGTGTGGTAGCTCACACCTTTAATCCTAGCACTGTGGGAGCAAGGCAGGAGATTGCTTGAGGCCAGGGGTTTGAAAACAGACTGATCAAGGGAAAGACCCTGTCTCTACTAAAAATAGAAAATTAGCACGCACCTGTAGTCCCAGCTACTCAGGAGGCTGAGGCAGGAGGATCGCTTGAGCCCAGGACTTTGAGGTTGCCGTGAGCTATGATAATCCCACTGCACTCTAGCTGGGCAGCAAGCAAGACTCTGTCTCAAAAAAAAAAAAATTTAATACAGAAAGGGGGAAAGAGTGGTGGCTCATGCCTGTAATCCTAGCATTCTGGGAGGCCCAG